AGACAGATTGCCCCAGGCAAATACCTTCTGAGTCCTTTGAGCGGTTGCACTTGAACCTCAGGCTGACCACGCTGACCAGAATGATCACAACCACTATGAGGATAACTATGAAGCTGATGACACCTGGGGATGGAGGAGAGAACTGTCTGCAATTGATACAACAACATGTCTGTCCTTGGAGAGACTTTGACTGTCATCAAAACTTGCGTAGGAAAACAATATTTTAATTAAAATGAGCATGGTACATAATAGGCAGAGAAGTAAGTAGTCACAGGAGCGAACGTCTTTATCCTCAAAGGGCTTCCGAGGAATATTTAATTGGTAAGGCAGTGCCAGGAGGGCAGGAGCCACCCGATTACACTGGGAATTGATTGAACTCAGTATGATCTTACTACAGCTGGTAAATCTTATCCTAAAGGTGTATAAAGTCAGATAATAATACATAACAATACATAATATAACAGGGAGAGACAAGTTAAAGACTGTGAACGATGGTATCTGTCTCATAAACCAGTGCCCAAGGGCAGATTGGATTCTGACATCTGGCCTCAATAAATCAAACTATTCTTTGCCTGGGAATCTTGTCCTGTTAAAATTGCTTCAGGACTTCTCGTGCCTTACCTTGGAGGATATAAGTAAATAATACTTAAGAAGTTACCACTTGACTTTTAAAAATGCTTCTGAAATAACACTTTTTCCTATAGCGTGATAGAAATGAGTAAATTGGGTTTTTTGCCTGTCCTCATGGAGGAGGGGGACAGTATAGCGTGTCTCTTAAATCTACCCCGTGCCTATCTTGAAGTCTGTTGTCAGGTTAAGGTCTGGCATCTCTTGCTCCATCCTTCCCCAGTCTGAAGGATGTGGAGGACTTGGCTGCTTCCAAGCAGGATGCAACTGTCCAGGGGAAGGCAGTAAGGCAGGGTGGGAGTGAGGTCCCAACTAGTCTGCAGGGAAAAAAAAAATTGCCTAAGCTTCCAGTTGGGTAGTGTATTTATTCTAGACACTATCAGGGAACCAAAGGCATAGCATGGGATTGTTTGTGCCCCGGTCTTGTCCTAACATGGAGCTGGAGCAAACACTGGTGCTGGGACCGAGATCCCACGCTCAGGTGTGGCCATGATGGACTTTCAAATTGTCCGTCCTTTGTACACTGGACGTAGCCGGGAGTATTTATTAGGTGCTTTGTTGCCTGCTGGTGACAGTTCTCTTTTTCAGGGGTTTTCCCTTGCACTCTGGAAACTCCAGGATCAGGCATGCTGAAGAAGAAGACAGTGGAGCCCTCTCCAGGGAAGCATCTTTGAAGCTGGGTGTCCAAACCAGCCTGGCCTGGCAGAGCAAATCCCCCTCCTCTCCCCAGGCTGCACAAGACCTTACCAAAAGCTGCCACCGTCAGTGGTGACTTATCGTCTGTCGGAGTGGGCACAGGCAAGTAGCCAGAGGACATTGGTGTCAGGGTGACTGGCTCTGAGGTGCCTACAAGAGGGGAAAAAGGGTAGCTTTATGTAAACGTCTTTCTGCCAAGGTTGGGAAGAGGATTCCTAGCAATGCTAGAGGACCTGACTCACACTTGTACTTTATTGGAGAGAATAACGTTAGATTCTGGCCAGCCCCATTGATGTTAACACACCAAGACCTGTGTGGGAATCGGATTGCCTTGGTGTGGCCCCTTTTATTGACAGTCTGAGAACACCCATGGGGTTTTCTGCTGGGACCTGAGTGATGAAGCTGAGCGTGGCGGGTGCGGGACTGGACTGGCAGTGTGTTCGAGGGGGAGCTTGTCCTGGCTCCCTCGTTTTGCAGCCTTTTGCCACAGTGGCACCTTTCCTGCTGTGACTCACAACCACTGTTCCCAGGCTCAACAGGTTGCCCCAAAGTTCTGCTTCTGTGGAGCCGTACAAGCTTTTCAAGGCCAGATGGGATTGCCACCATCCCTCAAGTACTCGCTGGCTGTTTACCATGCTGCCTTGAAGACAGCAGTGTGATGGCCTTGCTGTTGGCCGTGAAAAGGGCTGTAAAGCATCCAGAGATAACCATCTCTCTGCGTGAGAAAGGAAAAAGCACCTTGAGTTGCTGCTGTTGTGGTACTCTCACTTCTCTCTGGCTCTTGACCTGCACAGAGAAAGGCAGAAGGTGAGTCTTGACCTTGAGTGAGAAGAATTAATGGGCGTGGGGAGGAGAATGGGTTCACAGCGGTGCTGGTGATACCTGGGAAAACGTGGAATTCACACTCAGGCTAAAACCTTCCCACCAAACGTACTTTGTACTATTTTCCATGTCCAAACAGAAACTCAGGGAACCAACATTCAAACACCCTTATATAAACTGTTCAGGTTCTGCAGTCCCAGATGCAGTATTTTTGGGCAGATACAGCAGCTGAATACTGGAAGACTGAATTAGGAAGGTTTATGAGAAATAGGAAATATGTGATGTTGAGACTTTAAAAAAAATGTGCTTAGGGTAAGAAATTCTGCAGAATATGGGTGAGGATTGACTGTTCGGCTTGTCCTTGGAGTTGGAATTAGTGAGCGTGCTGTCCTGGGTTATTGAGAAGTGATTAAGCTAGTTTGAGCAGTGTAGAGGTTTGTTCAAGCAAGGACTCCAGTTCCCAGCAGGATGAACTGGCTCATGGGAAGCTGTTTGGTTTGTGACAGCTGCTTCCAGTGCCTGTGCAAGCAAATTTAAAGGTGGCCTGCGTGTTTCACTTGTACGGAGAAAAAAACCCTTTGCTGCCTGCTGGATGCGTGTTGAACGGCCAGATTATCTGCACTGACCTTAGTGAAGAGCTACAGGCCCTGTCAGGAGACTAAAAATGATACTTTAGAGCTTCAGAATATCATCTGTAGGTCAAGCAAGATCTTCTTTCCTCCTTTCCCATCCCCACCTTCCCAACAGCAGCATTGGCCAAAAGCATGTGCTGCCAGGAGAAGCTCCTGGCACTCTGCAGAGACCACAGGCCGTGCAGCTGAAATGGGGGCTCCTGTCTTGCAGAAAACTTTGGAATGTAATTTTGCCAAAAGTCAGAAGAAAAATGAGGAAACTGTATGAAATAGCAAATCTAACTGGTTCAGAAACAACTAGCCACATGGAACAGAAAAGCCCTGAGAAGCAGGGACTACTGCTGTCCAATTTTTTCACCAGTCATCAAACCCTTTGTTTTATTCTGAAATTGTTCTTCTAGGCACCGGCGGCGGGCAGAAGCTGTGGTTTGCTGAGCCTGGCACGGATACCCCATCCTTGGGAAATCTTGGGTCTTGCACAACAAGAGACTTCGCTTTTGGAAGCATCAGCAACATTTCTGTAGTCACAGATGTATGTAATTTCTCAGGTATAAAGCAGGGTTATAATTAATAGCAATCTGCTCGGGTGCAAAGGGCTCTTGGCTTAGCGGGGCACAGGCATGCTGGCTGGACATCTGTGCAGGCAGAGCTGACCACGGGTTTTTAACCTTGCTTGTATTAGAGAAGATCGTGGAGGTACTTGGGGAGGCAGAGCAGTTTCTGTCTTGACTGTTGCAGATTTTTGAGGCTGAATCTTTAATGCGGAATCAGCTCATCTGGCAGATTTCAGCCTTCCCACTCTCTTGGATTCTGCCCTTATTCTGAGAAAGCTCTTACTGAATTATCTAATTTTTGTTTACAGGCTGGGTTAAGCAAAATATCAAAAGCAAAATTAATTTTTTTAAAGCTGTTAAAAGGGCTCCCTTTTCCTAAACATAGATCAGTCTTTCAGCTGCTCAAGTCCACTGCAGGCAGAGGATGGTAAGTTCATTTGGTCTTATAAAGATACCAGACATGATTTTGGGTGTTACTGATGGCTCAACCCCAAGATAAAGACTAGTGCGTAGATAACCCACACCATGTGAACCAAGTAAGCTAATTGCCCTGAAATTATCTAAAATTATTGTTACCCTATGAAAGGACAAAGTACCTCGAGGCGGTGAAGTTGCTGTGCTTCTGCTTCCAGTAGACTTTTCATCTGGAGAAAGAAAACACGGGAAAGGAGAATTAACTCTTGAAGCTGCTATGGAGAGCTGTTGGGTTTCTATGGGGTAAAAAACTCTGTTTGCATGAGACTTCCCCTCCAAAAAAAGTCAAGATGTCCAGCTCGCAAGCTGTGCAGTCAATTTAGAGAGTGTACATGAGAGGTGAGCTTGGGAGAGCTCTGCTGGGGTGCCTGGGGCTCCTCCGCAAACCATTACCTGGTGAAGCATGGTCTGGCTTTTCTGATATAGGCTTGCTGTGCAGCTGCCACGTCCAGGGCATGGTCATGTCCAGCCCCGTGCTTTTGGGGAGCTGGAATGATGTTAAAAGCACGACAGCTGCTCTTTTAGCCAAGATTCAAGGAGATTGAAAAGTTGCTGCCACTGAATAAGCAGCATGGCGTGGGCAGCCCAGTCTTTCTGATGCCCCCAGTTTTGCTTGGATAAGGAAGGATGCATAAGCAGGTCCTGCCTGAGCAAAAATTGTAGTTTTCCATGCTTACCCTGTGCAGTCGATGCCAGCAGTGTCGTGGCGAGGGAAAAGGATGTGGCTGTAGTAGTTTGAGCCACAGAGGTGAGATTCAGGTCGGTTGGTGTTGCTGATTTTACTGAAGGCTCTGTAGAGGAAGCAGAGTGTTACTTCAAAGAGCTCTGCTCACCAGAAACTCCACTCAGAAACAGCTTGGAGGAGGGCATGGCTATTGCAAAGAGTCCTCAGGCTCCTTGGGAGTTAAGGATAATCTGTCAGGGAAAGCACTGGCATGAGCAGACAGGGAAACAGCCTTCGTCCTGCTCAGTGTCAGGGAGCTCTTGTATTTCATTAGTTTTTGCTTTTTTTTTTTTTTTAGTGTCCAGAGGTGCTGAGCTGGCAGAGCTCAGGAGATGCAGGGAGAAAGTCTGCTTTTTGCCACCACTTTTTTCCCACATTGAGAATGAAGGTATTTTTATCACTGGCCGCTTTAACTGGCTAGAGCTGCCTGGCACCCACATGTGTGTTTGCTTGTTATCTGAAATGATAACTTTTATGTTTCATTTCACTGAGAGTCTCTAAGCAAAGTAATTTGGTTCTTACAGAGGTCTGGAGTCTGTCATCTTCCTCAACCTGCTACTCAAAGCTGCATAGCAAGAACATGATCCAGAGCAAGATGTGGGAGGAAAAAGCTTTCAGTAAACCCTCAGCAAGGAGGAATGCATCCCCAGCTTGGAATTTACAGGCAAGTTCCTTGTCTAGACTTCTCTTGACTTTGCAATAAAAATGAGAAAAGAGTGAAAATGGTTTAAAGTTTTTTTTTTTTTTTTTTTCCCCACTCCTTTTATCCAAATGCTTCGCCAAAATATTTGAATTTAGGAATAAGTTTCTTTTTTTTCCTGCAAGGCATGGAAGCAGAAGATGAGATGTTTTTGAGATCTTTTTCCTTTATATTTTTGGGGTTCTTTGGAGGGGTAGCTATGCTTAGAAAGATTTTTTTTTTCCCCCAAACATAGCAGGAAGAGATCTGTCTCCAAAGATCCAAGTGGACTAACACAGATGTGGATCTGGAGTTGGAGAGATCCCTTCCCGTGTATTTGGTTTTCTGTATTTTCAGACTGAAATGTGTAACTTTCTGCTGACACCTCCCTATGCCCACTTCCAGTACTTCTTTGTCACCAGGGACACATGGTAGTGTCCTGAAGCTGGTTTTAGCAGAGGGGGAGGACAGAAAAAAGAGAATAAAACGTTAGGGAACTCCTCTGAGGTTCGTATTACTTTAAATATTTTTCTGGCCTTATGAGTGATTGCTGTTTCCAGGACGGTAGGTAACAACACAAAACCCCCAACATGAGTAACTGACTGAGAGCGAAGGCAGCGTTCAGTCCCTGTGCTGCCACAAACATTAGACAGTTTAGGACCAGCCTCTTCGTGTTTCCCCTTTTCCTCTTGGAAGGGAGAGGTGCTGAGAGTGTGCAAAGCACTGGAAATTTTTAGTTAAAAAAGAAAAAAAATGTGGTCAGGCTTGTCAAGAGAGCAGTATTGACCAGTAAATGTAGTGCAGGGAAGTTCTTAAAACAATGACTTAATTGCTGTGACTTCCGTCAGGAGCCCAGGGCAGGGCTGGCATGTGGGGTGCTCTGCTTGCCCAGAGGGCACACCCCGATGGTCCCTGCGCGGAGGAGCTGCTCCGTGACGCGCGTGATGCCAGGTGGGAGGATGCGGCAACGCGGATGCTGCCCAGCCTGGCTCCTTGCCTGGGTTCCGGGCTGTCGCATCCTTTGTGCGCACGAGGTACAAAGCCCACACTTTTCCCTGCATTGTGACCTGCTGACCCTGCTTCTCCCTGTTTAATTCAGTGATTTTTCTCTCTTCTTGCTCACACCTGCACCTCGATCCCTCTGGGATGAGCTGGCTGGGTCAGAAGCCCTTACACCACAAAATTTCCTTCTTCCCCGCTGCCGTTCTCATCTAACCTGCCGCTGCCCAGCCCCATTTACTGCTGGATGGCCCAGCTGGACTGACAGTCCGACCAGTTACAAGCCAGGTTGTCTCTGAGCTGCGCTCTTAGGTCTCCAGATGAGCGTTACCTGAGGTGTGGTTCTTGACTTCAGGGCTGTGTGTTGTCGATTGGGATTGACCTGTAACACAAGCAGAGAACACGGAGGTGACGTCTCGTGTGCGTGCTCCTTGTTGGCAGGGTCCCCACTGGGAGGGTTGAAGGATGGGCCAGAAAGGGGCCATTACAGCCAGCAAGAGCTGAAAGGATGATGGGGACAAGGGACGGAGTTTGTCCCTGGTGTGGCTGTAGGGACCTGTGAGCAGAGGGACCTTGGCACCGAGGATCCGTGGAGGAGAGCGTGCTAACTGGGGAAACAGCTGGGAAATGGGGAGCAAAGAGGAGGCAGGATCCCTCTGCTTTTGCTGGGCTCCCTGGAACTCATCACGGCGCTCTTCCAGACAAAAAGGGGAGCCAGGCAAGGTCATCCCCTGGGGCGCAGTGCCCTCCGTGGCCCCTGGAGATCGGGGGGTGAATGGCGATGGACGGGGCTGGTGGAGGTGGGAAATGCAGGGGCCTGGGAGCAGGTGCTCCAGCGGATGGGAGGGGTTTGAATCTGGTTCTCATCTGGGGACTCTCCCTTTTCATCCCCACATGGGCACATGCATCCGCATCTAAACAGATGTATAAAGCAGATCACAAGCCAGGAGGTACCTGTTACGGCGTGAACAGAGGAGCCTGTGGAGGCTGTAGTACCTGAAATGAAAGAATAAGAGTATCAGTGGTGCTGATCTGTGACTGTCACTGGTGCATCCGTGTTCTTGCTGGCTGTGTGGTTTGGGTTTTCCTCGTCTCCTGTAGGAATGACTTTGAAACACGTGATTTCCCCAAAAGCATTAGCAAAGAAGTAGTAACAAACACTGAGTGCAAAACTATCAGGTTGGGAGTAAATGAGGACTGGAGTTTATTCAGCCAGGATAAATGTCCTCTCCCCAGATGGAGCCGAACCCTTCAGGGAGCCATCTTCCTCTCTGACAAGGAAAATGCACGGCTGTATAGATCAGTGGGGTTGCTCCCTCCCGTGAGCTGTTTGCCTGCAGCTCAGTCTTGCAGAGCAAGGCTGTTTGACCCGTACTCTGGAGCTGTTTGAAGAGTTAAGACACACGTTTCAATGCTTTGTTCCCTTTAGACCTCAATGAGTGGATGGATGAGGTTTGCAAAGGCTTCCAGGAACCGATGGGACTGTTTTTCCTTCCTGTCTCCTACCTCTGATCCTTCTGTCCCATATATCTGCATCCTGGGAAGCTGGCTGAAACTTTGTGACTGTGTAAGTCCGGACACAGCGAGGGGGCTGTGGGGGTCTGTGGGGAGCTGCGGCTTGGGGACAGCCTCGGAGCTGCTGTCCCTGGCAGTGGTGGGCTGTCCTGTAGGTCCATGCTCTCTGCTCTCCCAGGGCTGTAGGTGTTGCACTGAGCCTCTAGTTTCTCAACTGAAAGGTGTTTTTGTTTGCATTTTTAGGGTTTTGTTTTGGATTTCTGACAAAGCATCCTTGCACAAGCCCCCATGTTGCCTACTCTTGGGATCCCGGTGTTTTTCTTTAAGCCCCAGCTCCTGCAGCCCTGTGATGCGATGAGATGCCTGTTAAAACTGCTGCCATTTAAAGCAGAAAAAAAAAAATATGTCCAGTTCCCGTACCTGGGGACAAGCACTGGAAAATGTAAAGGCATTTTAAACACTCAAATCAAACCCAAGTGGTTTGACTTTGAAAAGGTGACTGTCATTTTTGAAGTGCACATCCTAATTGGTATTTTTAAATGGTTGTTGCTGGTGATCCTGGGGCTGCCTGTAGTTAAGGTTAATGAAAGAAACTACATTACAGCTACAGAAACCAGCTGCATCTGGTCTGTCTCACCAGAGTCCCATGAGAGCTGACAGCTCCTGAAGGTTGCGGTCACAAAGGGCCAGCGATAAAGGTTGGATCCTTCCAGCTCGCTGTCCCCCGTAACGCCGCAGAGCTCCACTGCAGTGGCGGCCTGTGATGGGGTGCGGGATGCTACGTCTCCTGGGCTGACAGGGGTGGGGATCACATCTCTCATGAGCAGGCTGCAAGAGAGCCCATCTCCAGGCTCTCCTTCTCACCAAAGAGAGGAGCAGGCGCTTCTGAACCCCTCTGGCTCTGACCTGTTTCAGATCTCTACCTTACAGCGAGAGGAGCCACAGCCTGCGACATCCTGTTTCCTACCCGGAGCCACGGAGGTGATGGAGATGCTGAATTTCATGGTGGGTACCTATGCTGCAGGTCCCTGAGGGAGGTCAGATGAATGACCGCCCTGATAGTGGTGTGGATCTGGAATGAGATCTCCAGCATCCAGTGGATGTGGGTTACTGGGGCTTGGCTCGGAGCCCACCACTCAGGACCGTCTGGGTGTAGCGAGCTCCTGATTGATCTCATTTTTCTCATGTAACTGTGTTTGAGCCGTAATTGTTTCTTTGTCTGACGCTTTATGACAATGAGCCCAGCCAAACAGGAACCAAAACAGAGTGTGAGCCATTGTCGATACATAATAAATCGTGGCCTCTTTCCAGATAGGATTTAGCTGAGAAAATTGGGGCTGACTTTGGAGATCTTTTCCATGCTTTTCTCCTCTAGCTTACTCCATCAGGCTGGCAAGACTGTCTTGTTCTGTCCGTGAAAGAGGAGACACGATCAGATCTTTAATTACATAGAGGGGAAGGGACTAATTGGTTTTCTAAATCTGTTGGGAACGGGACCAGAAAACATGGACTTCTAACTGCAGCAAGGAAAAGGGAGGCTGGGCAATAGAAAACTGCCTTAACAGAAGGGTGGTGACTTGCTAGGAGGGATTGTGGAGGACAATTATGGGATATCCTTCTCTGCAGGTTTTGAAGAGAGGTGAAGTGAGTCTAGTAACATAGGATTAGGGACGGATGTACCATCGCTTACTAAATCAACTAACATAATAGAAAAAAAGGAAGGGGGGATGCACCCCTTTGTAGCCCTGTCACCTGGGATGCCGTGGGGCACTGCCTGCGCCCTGGGGGCCCAGCTGAGCCCAGGGAGAACGTGCGTGATTTCCATCAGTCCCAAGGGCTTGACAAGTTTTCTCTTTGTCACTGGGCTTTGTCTTCTCAAACAGCTTTACAACACAATTTCTGGATGTTGGTTTGCAAATGACTTAAGATACTCTATACATTCAGCACAAAAAATAATGTGCCGAGGTCATCACCGGGGCCAGTATCCTCTAGCAGCTGCCAGACTCCAGCAGCTCCTCTTTCCCCAAAATTCCCTTGCACAAGCCATTGCCATGTTTTCCCATGGGGAGCAGTAGCTGCTTGTAACACATTTTCTTCTGAAAAATTATCACAGGTGCTTTTTAGTGTACCTGGCATGTGAAAGCATCGAGAATTGCTGAAGAAAGAGTTATGTCCACACTTAGTCTTTGTCAAAAGGGGAATAAAGGTGCTGAGCTGGCAGTTTATTCCAGGTTTTTTGGTGCAGCTGAGGAGAAACCTGAGAGCTTGAACAGAGCCTCTAGAGACGGGAGGAAGGTGAGGGCAAGGGAGGTGACATTGCCCTGTACTGCTGCCCTGCTGGGACCATCCCGGGGGCTGGCTCCAGCATACCCGGCGCTGGGATGAGAGGATCGTACTCAACACTTTCTTCCACCACAGTTCAGCCCTTTGCTGAAGGTCCCACCACAGCACTGGCTCATAAGGAGATCTCCATTTGCAAAACTAAACCTTGGCGTTATCGTAAATAAGATCAATAAGCAGTTTTTTTTCAGTGCTCAGTTCCTGGAGCTCACCTGGCCGAGCAGATGCTCTCCCCAGCCTGCTGTGTTTGAGCTTCGCTGTGGGGAAGTGACCAGTCTTGCTGCGAAAGGGGCCAAGGGCTGGAGATGCCCTTTTGGCCCTTCGCTCAGGAATAAACGCCCCTGCTTCTCTAAACACAACCACATGTTATTTCAAAGCTGAGCAGGTCTGGCTCTGACTTCTGGCCACTGCTGCTTGTTATGCCTTCCCTGCCAACTTAAATAATCAAAACCCCTGTTATATGAGGTGTTTTATTTTGGTGAAGGTGCTTAGCATCCCGGATGAGTTACGGTGCAGAGGGACAGACGCATGCAAAGCAGGAAGAGATGCGAGTCGCACCGTGGGGCTGCGCAGCGGGATGGGTACGGACAGAAAAGCGCCACGCGTCGGGGCTCCCTGCAGACATCCCTGCGGGACTCTCGTGCAAATGGTACTGGAAACCATTTCCTCCCAGTGCCGCTGCCAGCACAGCCCTGCTCCCCTCCGCGGAGGGCCCTGGCTATATAAACAGCTAACAATAACAACCAGGACGCAGCCAGCGCGGCTGTAATTGCAATAAACATCAAAGCACTCAATGACTCGCCATTGAGAGTGAGCAGCGCCAAGATATTAGTTGCGTGTTTGGGTGCAAGTGATTTAGAGCCGGATTGTGCCGTTCTAGGTGGAGACAAGGAGCTGGCTGAGGGATTTCCGATGGGAAATGCGGCTTTCTGCTCTGGCTGTAATGGGAAGCTCCTGATTACCCACCCGAGCCCTGGGGCTGCAGGTGCATCTCAGCTCTGCCTCGGCGCTAGCTGCTTGTCGGTTAAGTGTTACAGAGGGTGAGCAGGGCAGTTTTGGATTTCTGATATTTGCAGCAGTTCTTCTGTAGGTTAGATGTGTTCGACTGAGGGCAGAGGGGTCTTTCCATGGAGCCTTCTCTTACAGCACCCCAGCCATTCCCACAGCCACAGCTCACCCTGCTCGCTCCTCAGAGCGAAAAGAGAATGATGTGAAACAAACAAACAAAAAAGGTAAATTTTAGGTATTTCTGCTTTGGTATTACTTTTGGCAATTGTAGACATTTAAAGAGTGGTTTCTCCAGCTGCTGCCCAAAGAGAGGCATTTAAAAACCCCAGACTTTACATCAGAGCCTCCGTATGACAGCACTGCCATAGAAGAGCCTGCGCCAGCTGATGGGAACGCTTCGGCAGGGTCTAGCTGGGGCTCAGGAAGGGCTCGTGCTGCCCGGTCAGTGTTCGTGGAGGGATGGGGTCACCAGGGAGGATCCCACAGGGACTGGGACTGGTGATGGTGAGGGACTGTCTATCCCCAGTGACCTGTAACCCTGGGCTTGCTGGCCTCTTCTCCTTCCCTGGCAGTTCTGGGGGGTCGTGGTGATGTCCTGCCTGTTCCCATTGCACAGCAGGGAGCTGCAGAGCCCGCGTGGCATCGTGCAGCCTTGCTGTCCCTGCCTCAGCATCACCCTCGGCTTGCAGGGTGCATAAACAAATGCTTGCAGAAAAGAGACCGAGCAACCTAAAATTAGACTTTTCAATTCATACATTGTCACTTTCTGTCAAATGACCCATGACAAAAATATCCTGACCGCCCAGCGCAAGAGCAGCTGTTCTGGGGTGAAACACAGCAGCTGGTGAAGCAGCAAAGAGCAACAACACCCAATTCTTAGGACTTTCACATGGAATAAAAATCCTGTATTAGGAAACCTGGCAAGCAGAGAGCTCTGCAAAAGCCTAGGTCCCATTTTCTTAAGTGCCTAAAATTGTGCCTCTGCCCTGAGAGTCTGGCAGACTGGAAATGGTGGAGGAGAGAGAGGAACAGTGTCGCTGTGCAGGCTGGATAAGTGACAGGCTAAATCAGGTCCCAGATCCGCAGAGGTATTTAAGTGTCTAATTCCCAAGTGAGATGGGGGTTTGGCAGCT